TTACAACCATCCACATCCACCATGTTGTCTGCACTCTCTGTCTGCCCCTTAGCACTTACAACCATCCATATCCACCATGTTATCTGCACTCACTGACAGCCTCCACACCAGAAGTACCCAGGGATTCTCTGGCACACTCTTGCACCAGGAACATTTAGACACAATATGAGTTTCTGATGAATAAAAAATGAAAAAAATTAAAATTAGAGAATAAATAAATCCTAGTAAAAATCATCAAATAGTCTGTAGTTCATTAATAACAACAATAGGACACTTATCAACAGCACATTAAGTGTAGGAGCACACACCTGTAATCACAGCATCCAGAAGACCATGGCAGGAGGGTCTCAAAGTGAAGGCAGTTTGAGCTAGATAGCAAGTTTCAGGTCAGACTGCACTATAAAGAAAGACAATGTCTAAAATAAACAAATAAACCTTTTGTTTCATGATCTTGCTAATACACAAAAGAGTGGGATCCAAGCTAAATGATTTAAATCTATATCCTTCCTGGAGACAACCTGCAAACTGAAGTTACCACCAAGAAAGTGATGCCATACACATAATTGCCTCATACAGTGGCAAGGAGCACTGACTTCAATCAGATAAAGGTTTAATTCATATTCTCTCCACTGCTACCCTCCTTCTCTGCCCCTCTTTCTTCTCCTATTCCTATCTCCTTTTTGTGGTCCAAGGATTTAAACCAGAGCCTTGTACACACTAGAGCTGTATCACTGAGCTTCATTCCCAACCCACGATTTAGTTCTTTATAGGTATCTCTAGGTTTCCCTTACTCAAAATACAAAGTTACATACCCGGACCTACATGGGAACCCACTTACCAGACAGTTGAGGCTCAGCCATGGCCATTAAACTGCTCACTTCAAACTCAACAACTTCAGTTATTGTTGCAACATTAGATTACTTTAGCCTGGCACAGTTTAGACTTCTAAACTTTTTTTAATTAAGCATTTTCACCAGATGATCATTGTTTCAAGGCTGGTGCTGCTGCTAAAGTGAACTTGAACATTCTCTGGCTAGACTGAGATCTCAAGGGCTCTTAAACATAAGCCCAGAATTTATAGGCCAACTGATGATGACTGGAGCTACAAAGAGAACAAGTTTATTGGGCCCCTATAAGCAACCAGCACAATGATAGGAACCACAGCGACCAAGAACAACAGCCTAGAATAACAGCTTTGGGTTTTGGAATCAGACCACCTTGACTCCAATTCCCAATCTAGAGCCAGCTTGCTGCTCACCATGTACAAAACCTTTAACACCTCTGTACTTTATCTATCTTGTCAGTAAGTGGGGGTCAGCAACCCTCTGGGAATGTTAACTCTCAGCATCGAGGAGCTATTTCCTCTACAGGTTTGGAATAACACAGTGGTACCAGATATCCCTGCAAAGCCTGAAGAGTACATGGTATTCTCTGTCTGAGTAAGGTGAAAGGTCTCATGGTTAAAGGTTATACTGAAGCAGATGGGACTGCCCAGAGTATGGATACAAGCATAGTCCCTGTGATGACTCATATACTGTGGGGACCTTCTATGCACCCTCAACAACACTACAAATAACTCTAAATCCCATTTTATAAATTAAAAGCTGTTTTACTGATGACACTGATGCCTACTAAGGGTGACCTCCCCAATAATTCACATACATTATTTCTAATCATCCCAACAATGCTGAAATTTGGGTGTAGACAGCTCCATTCACAAAGAAGGCCAAGAGAGGTCACAAACTCCTTGGATGCTTCTAGTAGACTGTAGTGGGGTTCTTCCCACTTGTTTCTGATGTAAAAAAGTCAGTGTCCTTTTCCCTAAGATAGCACTGCAGCTGAACCTCCCCTGCAACAGGAAGTCAAATGAATAAATAAGAATATAAAATGGAGGATAGGAATTATCTAGAAGAAATATAAGAATGCAGAGGGTGGAGACAAATGTCACTGTGAACAGGAAAAGGAAGGTTATGAATGTACAGATAACTTTTCTTCTATCTATTCACTCTCTGTCTCAAGTTTCTCTGCCAGATCAGGAAAGCAAAGCAGTAATTATCCCAGTCAGCATCACTCACCACCTCCTTGCCTTCAAATCCAAATTGAGTCTCATCAGCCCAACAGAAAATACCAGTTTAGGTATTTACTTGTCTCATCACAGTGTTATCAAGACTAAAAGATGGCATCATTCTCTCATCTATTATCTGCACTGAAAGGCATTCAAGAGAATGAAACTAAGCCTCCTTATCCAGCAAATCACATTATGCCTCGCATAGCAACACTTCTAAAAATCTGCCTTAAAATATGCATCCTGTCAAAGCAAAAGGACACATGCTGAGCCCTAATGAGCTCTGCCAAACCCTACATATACAGTATTATAAAATGGAGTATGTTGTCAATATATGATAGGCTGCTTTGTAGCTAATATTCCAGGCAAAGCTGCATTTTTTAAAAAAAGTATCAAATTTATGAGTATGTACATTCCCTTCAGCTCGGGGACCAAGTGGACAGTAATTGCACTACCTTATTTGCTGACATCAAGAGTTTTAATATTCGAGTAATGATTTAAAAAGACAAAGTATTTTTTTGCACCCAAACCTTGGCTACTACAGCCAACCCCATTCAATGACAAACTTCAATATTTTAAGTGGAAAAACAGGGGTATACTATGGTATACAGAGATGAATTGAAATGCATGAAGATAAAAGATTGTACATTGTGGTTTGTGCACCACCTTTCCCAGAAACAGAGATGTTTACATGTGTAAGATAAAATGACAGCATACACATTCCAATTTACAGCCCTAATTACATAAAGATCTGTGGGTTTTGTTTTTAATCCACTAGACTTAGTTTTATTTCAAATGCAAAGATATATGTCAATGCTCTCTGCTCACCTGCACAAACACAGAACCAGCCAATTTAAAGGCCTTTCTATGAAGTCATACCAGGCTTCAGCCTAAGAGATAACTACCTCAAGAAATGGAGCAGAAAATAAACCATCCCTTTTGCCTCCTCATCAATTAAGTCTACCTGTAAGGCAGCTGTAATTTCATTGCCTTTTCTTCAAACCTGAATGTTTCTTTAACCATCCAGCCAGATGTCCTCACAGCCCTTGTAGGCCAGCTGCTCATCATCACAATGGTTTACTGAAACTACACCCTTTTTCCACCTTCAATTTCAATGGTGTATTTACATTTTTTCCTTTAAGAACCCCCCCCCCCAAGTAGTTCAATGAACTGTCGTGTTAATATCATTTAACCCCAGGGAATCTTCTGTTTAATTGCTACTCTTTCCCAACCCCCAGAGGACCATTTCTTATTTGATGTTGCAATGGAAAGCACTGCATGAAGACTGACAGAGCAAATACACAATGGGTTTAAATTTTTAAACATCCAACCTTTTCATGAGTCACCGTTAATCATTTGCACCTGTGCCTTTAATAATCAGTCACGAAATTAGTGAAGCAAAATCTGTGGGATGGAACTCAGTAAGGATTCCCTAATCACAACCTGTCCCAAACCAGGGAGGAAAGGAAAGGGGGCTTTTGTCTTATGTGACCTGAAGAAAGTTTTACATGCCAGTTCCACCAAATCTAGAGGACATTCAGAGCTCCCAGTACTCAAAATCTAACGGTAGAGATCAAGCTGGGTGTGGTGGCTCACCCTTGTAATTTCAGCACTCTGAGATAGAAGGATTGCCATTCATTTGTGACCAGCCTGGACTCCATATTGAGTTGCAGGCCAACCTGGGCTCAAGCATGAGGTCCTGTCTTAAAAAATAAGGGGGGAGGGCAGATCTCATGTGTGTGTGTGTGTGTGTGTGTGTGTGTGTGTGTGTGTGTCCTCCTATACTTCCAAGGATTAAGTTTTTTGCCTTCAGTAACCATATTCAATTAAAAACATCATATTGGATATAAGTACAACACAAATTGAGAGAGCAAATCTTTTAAGTTCACACTGAGAAGGTAGAACATTGACATTACATTACTTCATCAATTATCCCATGTGTAAGGCACATTTAGAGCAACAGGAACAATACCCCGAAAAAGCAGATGCTGCTCTGCACCAATGAAACACACCCATCTGGAAAGTACAAATACTGTCTCTGTTCCTTATCATCAATCTTCAGCAATCACTGTCTCTGTGAGTGGAGGTGCCCATACCATGCAAAGTCCTCAACTGCCTTAGGCAGAAAGGGATTCCCTATGAGCAGCATCTGAACCACACCTTATTGACCATAGGAGATGTTGACAAAAGCTGCAGAGAACTATGTCTAGTCCAGAGGAGGGAATAGCACAAAGAATCAAATATGCCCCCCTTTAATTAGACAAGAGGGCCCTAAAAATAATGTTTTGTGCAATGGAGTACTCCTAGACCATCCACTACCAAATGGTACCCATTCTGTTGGATAGATAGTGAGATTTATATTGTCCAGTAGCCGTTGCCTTTCTTTTAAACTCTAAAGGTATTGTAGAAAGCATCCATTTAGTGTGTAAGCATGTTTTTTGGCACTAAAACACTGCTGTAATACCAGAAAACAGTCCCCACCCACTACAGAAATGCCCCCAGTCCAACGCTTAGGGGATGAAGATTCCAAACTGCCTGTTTTTTTTTTTTTTTTTTTTTTTTTTTTTTTTTTTTTTTTTGGATCCACTTGCTTGCTGGGGAACCTACTGAGGAGCCCTCCAAAAATGCTACCCATAGTTCATCTATTGGTCCTATTCCTATTTACCTAGCTAGAGAAGATTGATGAGTGTTAGGTAGGTATCCAGTCTTTCCACTTGTAGCAGGAATGAACAAAACAGCAACACACACTTAGCAGAGCTTTAAAGCCTTCTGAAGGGACAGAGATATCTCCCTCCCATCTACACCTTCCTCCCTTTTTCTTCCCTAGCTCTAGCATCTGCAGCCCTTCTCTAGCGGCCCCTAGGGCAATCATTTTTTCTATAGGGCTCTCAGACATGACCCCAGTTATTCCCACCGCCTCAGTCCACCCCCTTACCTGATAATGTCGTCGTTGTGTCCCAGGAAGAATTTTTGGCTGTGCTCTCGGGTGTTGTACACCACCCCTACCCCAGCTACAAAGTAAACCACCTCTTTGCCAGCGGTGTAGTACAGGTTGTTGCGGCACTGGTGACCCCGGTACCCGTACACCCACTCCAGGCGGAGCTGGCAACTGGGAGCTGTCCGATCCGCCATGATAAGCCGACCCCGCGCGACCCCCGGTGCCCCGCGCGTCGGCTCTGTCCTCTTCAAGGCTCGGGCTGCGGCGGACCTGCAAGGGTTCAGGGTACAGCGCGGGGCGCAGATTTCCGCGGCGACGCACAGGCACAGCCCAGCACGCCGGCCACCATCATCCGCTGCTG